TGAGATATTAAATTTTAAAGATTAACAACCAAAACAACTGGGAATTTTTTGTCATAAGGTACATAACTTGATGATTTTAAGTGTGATGAATTAATATAAGTAACATTCTTCTCATCTTTCAAATAAAAAAAAGGTTACTTTCTTTCACCGGTTAATTATTGAGATATTGAATTTTCAACCCGATTTTTTTTATTTTCAACAGTTAAAAAAACATGTGGAACCCATTTTTTACAAATTTTATGAACTTTTAATTCAATATGTAAAATACTTTTGAATACTTCCTCTAGAAATGCCTACATTCTCTTCAATAGCTGTAATTGTCATATGAAGATCATCACTAATTAAATCATCAAATTTTGCAATGTTTTCAAGGGCGGAGGTTTCTTGAGGACGTCCAGAACATGAATCATCTTCAACATTATTTTTCCACTTTCAAATGCTTCAATCCAACGATAAATAGATGCTAAAGATACCGCATTAGACCCCTCAGCAACCTGTAATTCCTATTAAATTTGTTTAGCTGGTTTGCTATTTTTCCAGCTAACAAAAATAGGTATTCACGTTTTGAATTTTCCATTTGTTTCTATTGGCAAACTTTAAAATTTTATAATTTAACAACAAATGACTCAATTTGAATGATTTTTTTTTTTATTTTAAAGATTGTGGCTTAAGGGTTTTTTATTCCCATTTTCACTTTTATTAAAGATTATCAAGTTACATTGGGGTGTTAGATATGAGTATAATCGCAAACGTAGGGGACCGACCACCTAAATTCGTTGTAACAAAAGTTCGTTGAGAAGATCAGGATCAACGAAATTTGCTTACATATTAGTATGAAAAAAAATTTTTACGTAAGAAAAAATTTTTAAAAAAAATAAATGATAAATATAATAATGTAATAACATAAATATGATGATAACAAATGTATGGCCCGGGTTAATCCATATTGTGCTGCTAATCCAACATTTTTTGGTTGAGGTTATTTCTTTTTAATAAGCAAATTTCTCTTTTTTGTTCAGCTGTAATAAAGTTTCACTTTTTAGATGACTTTGTTTTTTTTTAATACATAACCATCCAAACAACAAGACTTGTATTACACCTTTTTAGAATTTCATAAAAATATTTAAATCACAATCATACATTTTATTACAATTTTAAACTGCAAGAATAATCATGTTTTATTATAATGGAAAATAATCATATAATTTTATTACAATTTTAAACTGCAGGAATCATATAATTTTATTGTATATTTTATTACAATTATAAAACATGGA